CCAAGGGCGTGGGTACAGAGAGTGCATCTGGGACATGATTCCAGGCTGTACTGGAAACTAACACATGGAAAGAAAAAAATCCAACGATGGTGTTTAAATGAGCAGGGGGTCACTGAAGGCCACTGGGCTAAGTGGAAGACTCATGTAGGACCAGCCCAGACCTGCTTGAATTTTTTTCCACCAAGAATGGGCATGTGGGGGTGTTACTCAGAGACCATACCTCATTGTTTGAGGGCTCCCCTTGGCTGTGTTAAATCTTTAGCACTTAGAGGTGAGAGCAGTCAGCATATGCAAAATTCTTGTGAGTCCAGGTAAACCTAGGTGAACCTAGGTGAACTGCAGATGAACCAAAAATTGAGCCAAGGGCCATGGCTAGAGTTTTTAGCAGCATGCCTGAGCCACCCTGACACTGGGACACATGACTCCTACTCTAGTGCTCATAGTATTTTACCAATTTCAGCTTTCATTTTTTATTTTATAAATACATTTTACACTATTATTTTACAATATAGTCAGTTGACTTCATTTACTTTTGAGAGTTATTTTTATATTTGAGGTACTTAAACTTCCATTACAGAAATTAGAATAGGCAGCCCACACTTCCTCAAGGGCATCACCATGATGATAACTTGGTCTAATCACTACTAGATAGGCGTTTATAATGACACCTGAAAGAGCCAAATGGCTGAAGCCATGGGAAACTAAGGGGAACCACAACACAGAAGCTGGGAGAAAGCACAAATCAAAGGAAAAGAATAATGCCATTTTAAATAATAAATAGTAAATATTTAAACTTCTTACTATTCAATGCCGGTAGAGTGTGCTGGCAAAACAAATTCTCAGGAACTCTCAAACATTGCTAATGAGAGAATAACTTGAGTTAAAACAACTTTCTCAAAAGCAATTTGGTAATGTAGGTCAAATATTTATATTCTGTATAAAACAAATCCTATGCATACACACACACATGCAAGTTCACATAGCAATATAATCATCCGAGTATTACTTATAATAGCAAAATTAAGAAATATACTAAATTAATTGAAATGAGAAATTTTTGAACTGACAATGACTCAAATATATGCCTTTATTAAAGTGTTTTCTAAGAGTTTATTTAAATATTTTTAAAAATACTAATGCAGGGCCAGCAAATTGTTTAGTGATTATGTCACTGAACTCCTACATGGTCAACTTTGGTTCAAGTTCCAAACCAGGTGCTTGACAATCATTCTGGGTGTGTGTGTGTGCATGCCCAAGACCCTGCAAGGTGAATAGAGAAGAGCTTGCAGCATGACTATACCCCACCCCCAGGGATGTTTTACTTTCCCTCTCTTCATTCCTGTTTGAATCTCTCTCCAGCAAGCACACATGCCCTAAGGCAAAAGCCTCTAATACATATATATATTTAAGGAGAGAAAGTAATAGCCAAACTTATAAATTAGATTGAATCTTAGAAAATTGACTATATTAAACAAATAATTGGTTCAACCAGGTTCAATTGCAGGTCAATATTGGTTATAATAAAAATTTTTATTTCTGATTTTTAAATTTATTTTTAGAAACAATACTGAAAAGAAATATACCTTATTAATGACAATAATTATTTTCTAGGGTAGGATTTTGAGCATTTCTTAGAATAATATTCTTTATGGTTTGCAAATTTTCTATAATAAACATGCATTATTTTTTAAAAGAATTATTTTATTTAACTTTACTTAATTATTATCATCATTATTATTTTCCAGTTTGATCAGAGAGAGAGAGAGAGAGAGAAGAAGTGAGAAAGCAAGCCACCAGGTCTGAGACTTGGTGGGAGTCCAGTGCCTTTAACCACCATGCCACTTGCCAGCCCCCATGCATTACTTTCATACACAATTTTATTTATATTTTATTAGCAATGTTTTTATACGCCTTAAGAGATTTCAAAGAATTGCCATAGGGATATGCAACAGATAGTTTTCCCCATGGAACCTCAGAGAAACAGCTCAGCACAGAGAGCACAGAACTCAGGAACTGTACAACTCAAGCTCCCTCATCTGCATGACCATCTTACCTGTGATGATTGACAACTGATCCCTTTATGAAAATGCTCTGGTTGGGGTTCCTGTCAAAGTTCTAGAGAGGCAATGCTGTTTATGTGACCGAGGGGAGGGAAGGGGCACCAAATATTACCATGGATGTGAATGGGGATTGATATAAAAGAACAGAGTAAGACTACCATTCCTGTTACTTGGGAGGAGGTGCCCACTGCTCCATTAGCTAGAGGATCCCTAATGGAAAGTATCTGTCTCATTCATACCTTCTTACCAACAACCTTGTAATCAGTGTGTTAGTGCAGTAGAGACCACTGTCGCCCGTGGCCAGATTGACATGAGCTGCCGTCTATGAATTCCTTATTCTAACACAGATATGGATTCAAACCTCAGGGGCTCTACTATGTAGCTGACCACAGTGTCAGCAAGTATCCCTGAGGCTGATCTCTGCTGGAAAGTTGGCTAAATGTCACCCATAGAGGAATCCCTGAGAGGTCCCAAAGTGTACCCCCTTGAGTCCCTGAATGAAGATCTATTACTCCAAAAAAATCCTCTTCTTTCTTGACGCTTAGGTAAACATTATGTTTCCTAAAGATTATTTGCAGAAGGAAAATGTGTTCCATAAAATGTTATAATGCATTTACTTAAATAAGCAGAATTATATCAGCTGGACAAATACACAGTGTATTCATGCTGGGACAATTCATTTTTCAAGCTGTAATAATGTACAGTGATTGGATGTATAAAATAATAATAATAAAATGTAATATGCTATTCAATTAAACCTTCATCTTTAAAGATTGAAATTTGTAAAGAAAATTCCATTTGCTTCATTGTAGTTTATACTAGTAAAAAACAAACAAATTGCCATTAAACAGTCACTTGCATACTACAAAACCACAAAACCAACATCCTTCTGCCCTAATTCATAATTCTCATGGAACAGCCCAAACTCTTGCCTTTCTAAATTACTTAAAATCCCTGGGACCTAACTCTATCATTCCTTAAGTATATGAATTTCCAAAGTATTGAACAAATGTAATAAAAACTCTTATTAATCACTCAGTCCATGAAAAAGTGACCTTACTTTGACTCATTTTTTTAGATAATAGGAATCTTATGAGTTCAGCTATCAAATTCTCATGAGAGAGGAAAGTCATAAAATGGTGGCATTGCTTTATGATATTAGCAGTAAATTTGGATTGATTTTTTTCTATTCATGAACTGTGTGTGGATTTCTCCTCAGAACTCTCATAAGATAAGGGTATAGGCTTCACCCAGACTCTTTTCTTTTAGGGCAAACACATAGCACTAAAGTTGTTGCTTCACACTTTGATGTTGTTACTGATTTTCATGTAAGTATCTCAGAATTAAAGGCTGAAATGAATCACTCACCCTCAAGGAAGAAAAATGCACTGAACATTTCATTAGAAAAATCTCTCAACCAAGATCATTTGGATAAATCCAAGAGAATGTATAAAGTGAGCACACCAGCATTCTTGCAGTGGGAAGGAAAGGTGTACCTCTCAGTCAACACTAATCTCCTAGGAAGGTGAGTTTAAAACTGTTTTGGTAAATTGGAACTGTTTGGTTTTCAAAACAAAGAGATGGAAAACTAAGACATTATTAAGATGAAATTAATTTTTATTTTACATTGCTTGAATGTTTATAATGCCAAACTGTTTCACTGAAGATCAATCACAGTTCCTACCAGGTAATTCAACTGAACCAAAGTGGCCAGATCTAGAATCTCAGAATTACATATATTTCTATAATGTCCTTGCAACAGGACATGGTAAATAGCAGAGTTTCCTGCCTTTGAGTCTGACAGCTAATGAGAATGCTGTGAAAACACTCAGGAGCATCTACCCCACCTGGCTTCCAGAGCAGAGGAATTCCAGGATAGGTAGCTTTGCAAGGAGAATGATCTGTTGTATCATAATGCTCACATGAATAATCCATAAATCCTATCCTATAGCTGCATTGTAGGAACAGGGGTAGAGGGAAAAGAAAAGTAAACCATAGTTAATACCAGAAGATAAACCCTTTTGTCACTTGCTTATGGGTTCCTCTGAGACCAGTTCTGTGCCCTGAATCTGGAGGGCCCATGAACAACATGCAAGCAGCATCAACATGGACACCAAGGAAATTCCAGGGAACTCATCAACCACCTACTAGGCACCAGAACTCCAGCTGGACTCTGGTAATCTTAAAAGACAAATGATGTTGGAAAGTCCTGCCACTCCAGGAGCCTGATCAGGCAAGACAACTTGGATAATGTGGCAAGGACAGGAGAGTGACATGTAGCATCATATGGCAGCTAGGGAAGGGCCTTGGTGGGGTTGGGAAGGGACAGAAAGAGACTTCTTGGAAGGATTCTATCACATAGTTTTGTAATGTACTTGTCTTGGCATCCACGTTTAGGCCTGACATGAGTTATGTAAAACCCAGTTGTAACCCATCACCCTTGATCTAACTAAAACTTCCTTTCCCCATTGGTTGTGGGTGAGAGAGCCCACTTGTTCCTCGTCTTACTGTCCCCAAACCCAACATACCTCACAGCTGCTGACCACAATACAATCTATCAGCACTAAAGTCATGTAAATAAGTTCTCTCTTTTTTATTAATACTTAATTTTATTTACCATTGTTATTATTTTTCCATTTGCTATCAGACACATGTGCTCACCATAGAGAGACAGAGATAGAGTTTTGTACATATTTTTTAAAAAAATAATTATTTATTTTATTTTATTTATTAGTAGTATTTTTTAACTTGCTATAGTCATCAGAGAGACACAGACAGAGAGAGAAAGTGAGAAAGCAAGCCACCAGGTTTGGCACTCAAACTGTGGTTGGCCATGTGGAAATGTCCAACATCCTAACTACCATACACCTGCTGGCCCCCTGTGTGAATTTCCTTTAAACTAGCCAATATACAATCCCCATGGATGGCCTAAAGGATAACCCCATGGTCCTTAAAAGGTCTAGTCCACAAATCTCTCTTACTTACTTTCCATCTGCTGATTGAGCACCTTGCTGTCTATTACTTTTACATAGGTTCACTTGATTACTCTTTTTTTTTTTTCTTTTTGGAGAGGTTTTTGCTATAGGGTGCTCACCAGAAACAGAAAGACAGAGAGAGACAGAGAGACAGAAAGCAAGAAATCACCACCACCCCCCGGGACCCATGGCCACACCGCAATCCCTTCTCCTCCATTCTCCCCTCGGGATCTTGGGCATACATGCACATGCGCCTGGCATGAGTTTAAGCCACTAGGTCCAGGACTCGAACCATGGTCGACTACATGGGAGTCCAGCAATATTGTCATTACACTAACTGCTGGTCCCCTCTTCTTCTACCATGGGCCAATGGGTAATTAAACTGCTTCTTTTATTTCATGTGTTTTGTTGAGTTGCTGCCTATGTGTCTCACCTGACTGACATGCCTGAACCTAACTCTCTTCCTGGTCAGGGTTCTTCTAGAGTGCAGATATCTCAGTAGGAATAAACTGGACACAGGTCAGATGAGAGCCACAACGGAGACTGCTAGTATAAACAAGTATCCTGTGAGAGAGACACCTGGTCACAGGTCACTTAGGCATTATGCCGTCCACCAGGATAAAGAAATATCCGTAAAGTGCATACCACAAATACCCATAAATACCTCCCCTGGATCCTCTTCAGGACAGGTCTGGATTTATAGCCACTTTCCAGGAACAAATTTTAAGAAAATACAACAAAGAGTGGAAGGCCAGTGGGAGACCCTGAGGTCAGATGGTGGGTGAGTCAGGGAAGAGTAGACACCAACAGGGGGGACCAAGTGAGGACTCTGGGTCCCCTCTGAGACGAGGAGACTAGTCTGATAGCCCCAGAATAAGCAACGCTGTTGGGATATAAAGATGACATCTAAATATCAGTGAACACATTGTTGACACCATGCTGAATGCTCGGAGGGTGGGAACACAGACAGCAGATCCTTCCTCCTACTGTAGGAGCAAGGCACTCCTAGAAAGGTAGCGCAGCACTAAACACACACCCTCTTACTCTTCCTGTTTTTTTCTTCATCTTTCCTGTGTGTGTCTTGTGTGTTAGTAGGCAGTAGGAGCATTTAAATGTTTTATTTACATATCTTTGGAGTAGTAGAGGAGAAAGCTAATTAAAGGCAAAACAGTGGATATGAAAAGGTAACCCATAGTGTACAGTGTGGCTTAACTGCCTCTTTCAACCTGTAGTACAAAGGGTCTTTGAGTGGCCTGGCAGGGAACACAAGTGTGGGCAAGAGAAAGACACAGGCTATCAGAATTGGCTGTACCCAAATCATCTGTATGGCAAAGAAAAAAAAATTTAAGTGGTGGTTGCATAGGGAGGAAGAGACTGCATACAACCCTGCTGGAAAATAAAATTTTAGTCTAATAACATAGTTTTTTAAAATCCTTTTTTAAAAAAACAAACAAACATGCTATGCATCCCTTCCAGGGACTATTCTTGTATGTGTGCATCTATAGCATGGTCTTTGTACATTTCTGGGTTACTTAGCATATATTAATTTAGGCTTGACACATTGTACTGTAGTTAGGAGTTCATGAGTCCACTTTTAGTTTTCAAAGCCAAAGACAGTATTTTATTTTTGAATGAATGACTGAATAAAGAGATGCAGACATTCACATTCGAGATATGAAAAAGTGCAGTCTTCCATGGAGATTGGAAAAAATTCCTTCTTACTTAGAATTCTTATGGTTAGATAAATAAAAAAGAAGAGGAACATTTAACAGACACAGGAACGAAGCGGTATCTGTTGATGATTATGTATATAATGTCTGTGACTTAACCGATGTGCACCGTTCATGCTGGAAAAAACAATTTTGTATGCTGTAAAAATGTAGAGTGATTCAATGCAAATGTTTAAAAAGCAATAATAATAAAAAAAGAAAAGAAATAAAGAAATAAAAATTTCCAAAACAACAAAAAGAAAGAAAGAATTCTTATGAGCTAGGACAAGCTAGGCTTTTCCTTTTTCCTCCTGCTATTCAGGGTTTAGCCTACCCCTGGGGCCAGCATCCCAGCCCTAACTCAGAGAGTCCTGCTCAGGCTGCTCTGTTCTGTGGAGACACAAGTCTTTACACAGCATTGTACTTACTCTGGTCTCTACTGACCCTGCACCTCAGCAACTGGCTGAACCTGCTGCTCAGAGGACCCAGCCCAGGAAATAGCCTGGGATTAGGTGCTAACTACAGAGTGAATTTACTTTTGAATTCATAAGACCATTTACAATATTCATTATGATTATCATCACACACAGGTTCCATTACTACCTTCTGTATTCAATCTCATTTTGTGAAGAAATCCAGCTGGGCTGAAGTGTTGTATCTGGCTCACCCAAAAACCATAGCGGGTAATAAAAGCCGTTGGAAGGAGATTCAAATACAGAATGTTTCTCCCCGCTAAATTGAAAATGAGATTTTGAAGTCAGCTACAATTAAGATACCCAAACTTTATTGTAAAATAGCCCCATTAATCCACAGGTGTGGGAGTCCCTGCTCTAGTAAAATAACCCCAGTGCGCTGTTGCTCTCTGAGATCTGAGCACC